CTACAGCAGAAATTGGTCCTGTAAGACACAGATCACCAAAACAGAAATAGCAACTTGAGGGTGTTGATGGATGCATCTGTAATCATTTGCAAGGCTGACCTGACCCAACAGTCACAGGACAAGTCCATCCAACTCAGCCACACTCATTACAACAGAGCAGCTACCTCACTTCCTTTCTCAGGGCTTTGCAGCTGCAACTGGGAGACCGCTCAGCTAGTAGCACTGGTGTGAGCTCCTGAGACGGTAGCCACACAATCTGTACTTTGTTCTCCCAAGCTCTTCCCCAGCAACTGGGAGTGGCCTCTCAGTAAATGTGCAGAACCCCAGTAAGGTCGTGGTGTAACACAGCAAGCCCCTGGTCAGGCATTGGAAGATGGGATCAGGACATGCTGAGCCTCCCCTGACTGTGATTAGGGGAATCACTTCCTTCTAGGAGCCCTCAGTGTCGGAAACAAAGGGTTTCAACCTTATGCCTTCAACAGGCCCTTCCAGCTCTATATTCTTTTCTGGTAGCCAAGCACTAGGCCTCTCTTTTTCTTTTCCATTTTTTCCTTTACTTCGTTCCTTCTTCCGGCCTCCCTCCTTCCTTCTACTTTCTTTCAATCAACCAACAAATATTTCTTACCATGTGCCAGACTCTATAACAGGAACTGAGACCTCAGCGGTAAGCAAGATAAATACAGAAAAAAAAAATACTTATTTATTGATTTATTGACTGTGAACGCATAAGAATATGCAGTTCTCATTTTGAAAGTTTTGCTTCAACATACAAGTTAACTATGCAGGGGCTTTATTTTATTTTATCTTATTTTTAAGAGAGATTTTTGCTATAGGGTGCGTGCACTCACCAGAGACAGAGAAAGACAGAGAGATAGAAAGTGAGAAATCGCTCCCCATGGGGAATGGACATGCCACAATCCCTTCTCTTCCATTCTTCTCCTAGGATTTTGGGCCCATATGCACACACACACCTGGCATGAGTTTCAAGCCACCAGGTCCAGGACTTGAACTGCAGTCAGCACCTTTAAATACTATGCCACCTGCTGGTCCCACTATAGAGTTTTTTATCACTTTCAATGATATGTAAGGGAGAGGTAAAGAAAAATCCAATCATACTAAACAAGAGAAGTTCTTCAATTCTGACATAAATAGCTACAGTTATTATATAGACAATTCAGGTTTAAACAGGTCTTGCTAAAATTGCTGAGGTCATTGCAACAGTTACCCAGGCGAGACTGGTTCTGTGACAATTCTTTCCAACTCCAATTTATAAATGTGCTTGGAAAACTTAGGCATATTGGTACATTCACATTCACAGTCAAGGTGGAAACAGAACTGGCTTAAGATCATAGCAATGGACAGTGTGTATATACAGAAGAGACAAACATGGGGTTGACAAGTAGAAACTGATGAATAGTTTCTTTCAATTTGCAGTTTTTATATCTGCCCCTTACAAGAGAAGGTCAATAAGGAACTTAAATATCTGGAATTTTTAATACTGATTTGTGAGAGTGAAATGATCCTTGTAATCTTCTTTTGCTTTTAGCCCAAATGACCAGTAAATTGAGAAATTATTCAGATTATTATTTTTTTCCCTGAAGACTTGATGGGAGAAGTGAGTTAGACATGAAGAGACTTCAGATAATACAATAACTAGCTAAGATGGGGCCTCAAGTGGACAGGGAGAAAAAGCTAGTGCTTGAGGAACTTGAGGGGTCCTCAGGATGTAGTCAGAAAGTCATAGCTTTGGGCAGGTTTTCAAAATTCCCACAAGTTCACCAGAAGTCGTGATAATATGCTAAAAATCTTATTTTTAGAACATCCTTATATCTCAAATGCTTCATTTTCAAACCTTTGAAAAAACACATGCTGTTAAGACATAATTGAAGATTTTAATCTTTGACATGTGAAATGGCACAATGATTGTACACCAGTTGTGGGTACAATTTATTCTGGGTTTTTCCAACCTGAACAATTCAGGTTTAAAATTCAGAATACATCTAGAAATACAGGAAAATATCTATTCCCCAAATAGTAACATCAATAGCCAGAACCTATAAAATCTCTCTCTCAAATAGGTCTTTAGTAAAAACATGTATAAAAGAGAGGGTCCTCGGGACCAGCAGTTAGCGTTAATGGCTATGTCGCTGAATTCCCATATAGCTGACCGCAGTTTGAGTCCCAGACCTGGTGGCTTCAACTCATGCCGGGTGCATGTGCGTGCGTGCCCAAGATCCTCAGAGGAGAATGGAGGAGAAGGGATTGTGGCGTGGTCATCCCCTCTGGGGGGTGATTTCTAACTTTCTGTCTCTCTGTCTCTGTCTTTCTGGCGAGCACACGTGCCCTACAGCAGAAACCTCTCCAAAAATAATGAGAGAGAGGGTCCCCCTTCAGTAGCAGAAACATCAAATATCTTATTTCCCAATTACAGAATAGCAAAGTTCATATCTGTGTATTGCTCTGAGTTTGGATTCATGGTAATTATACCTAAATAAATTACAATTTCACATTTCGGAGGGCTGTCACCCTGGATATTAAAGCCTTATTAAAAAAAAAAAAAAAAAAAAAAAAAAGGACCAAGGGCAAATAAGGAAAACATAGCCTGTCTTTTAACATATTTTTTTTTTTTTTGGAGAGGTTTTGCTATAGGACGCATGCGCTCGCCAGACAGACAGAGAGAGACATAGAGACAGAAAGCGAGAAATCACCCCCCAGGGGGGATGGCCATGCCACAATCCCTTCTCCTCCATTCTCCTCTCGAGATCTTGGGCAAGCACGCACACGTGCCCAGCGAGAGTTTTAAGCCACCGGGTTCAGGACACGAACCACAGTCGACTACGTGTGAGTCCAGCGACATAGCCATTACACTAACTGCTGGTCCCTCTTTTAACATATTTCTAATGTACTACATAAAGGAAAACAAGAATTAGTCCGTGGAGGTTTCTACTTCTTCTAGTACATACCAATGATGTGTCCTTTTCTTTTTTTAATTACCAGAGAAAATGTACACGCAACCAGAGAGGAGGGAGAAAGTGAGCACCCCGCAATGGGGTATGTTCACACGGCAATCCTTTTTTTTGTCCATTTCTCCATGTGTCAAGACTTTGGGCACACATGAACACACACACCTGGCATGTTTTACAAGTCAGTGGGCCAGGACTGGAACTGCAGTTGGTCACCTGAGATCTGGCTCCCTATGCATAGTACTTAACTATGAGCTACGGGACCAGCCCAATGAAATGTCTTTTAGTCACAGCTTTTAAAGATCTCAACAGTAGAAATAAAAGCAATTATTGAACATGTTATATATTAAAGTATTAAGTGAACTGGAAAGTAATTACAAATATTAGTAATTACTGATGGATCTTAGATATCAGAAAATTAAAAAGAAAGTATTACCAAATAAACAGTATCATCAAGGAACTACATCACCACCTACCTCAAGTGGAAGAATGAAGTTTGTGCCATCCAAAAACCATCACCACAATCCAACAGGCTCCAAGCGACCCCTGAATTTACCTACTCACCTATCAACAAAAGGCTACGTTCTTATTTCTTTACTCTTACGGAATCAAGGAACTGAATTCTTTTTCATTATATTCTTCCTGAAAAGTAGGCAACTGTTAATCAGAATCAATTAGTCCTTTCATCATTTCAATAGTTCCCCTAACCTCAATTCCATTATAAAACACTGGGAGTTAAGAGAGAAGCTGATGAGAAACACAGGAGCAAGAAAAATGAAAGAAAACAAACATAAGTCTCATTCACCTTTGTAAAGCCTAATCTAAATCTGACCAAATTCAGAGCTGAAATCTGACCAGTGCATAACAAGTCACCGCTCTGGCCCACAAATCTTAAAAGAAAAACTTCATGTATGTTTCGAGATAAAGGATAAAAGCTGCCAAACTCCCGCTGGACAAGAGGCCAAGCAGGTAGCAGACAGCATGACAAGTTCCTAAACTTTGCTCAAGGAACAAAGGATCACACAGCATCTGAGCTTGAAGCAACCAGTCGGGACTGGGGACACCGGCTTTATTAGCCACAGGCAACCGTCTTTCTGACATTTCAGAATTAGTCAAGCAGGGGAGAGTAAAATTTGTCTCTAAAAAGAAACACTCAAAAACCTTCTGGTCATATTAAAACAGATTCGTAGCGGAGTTAACATCTTAGTGCTATTGACAGGCCTTTTTAAATCAAAATCTACTTCTTTTCCTCCTTGCTTACATACTGCCCTCTGCCCCAAATAAGGAGATTACATAGAAACAGTATTGACAGCAATCTATGTTATAGCTCTGCTTTCTATTTTTTGGTCTGAAAAAGATACTGAGGTTTATGTTTAAAAATATAAAATAAAGGATCAACTAACACAATTATTACATTTTATTTTAAAGTTTTAGAAAATGAGGGACAGGCATCAGAAAATTTACCTGAATCGCTAAAAACCACAAAGTTGGAGAATTTTTTTAAAAAGTAATTGATACCAAAATAGCTTTTAGGAAAATATGACATCTTAAAAATCTCTTAAGTTGTAGAGAAAGAACAAAATTAGGCTCAAGATGAGGGGGATAAATGTTATAATTTAAAGTACACTAAAGAATACATGACAGCAAACAGAAAAGAATGAGAAAAAATAGTGTCTTAGAGGTTAAATTGTGTTGAGTGTAATTTCTGTGGGACTCTACAGTTTACATCAAGAGTATTTAAATAAAAAACCCCATTATTATGAGAACACACCTTTAAAGTTGGCTTTAAAGAATGTATCCTGCATACAAGTATGAAGACTATCCTCGACTCAGGACATCTACACACATACAACTGTTTCTCTATATGGTATTTACAGTCTGGAATACAGTTAAACTGGGGTCAGTATGTCATCCTGGGTGGGAGATCAGTTTTTCCTCAATGTCAAATATCCACTGAGAATTAAAGAGCAGATGAAACTTCCTAACCATTTCTAAGAATTCACATAATAAAGGGTAATTATTTGAGTTTACACATGCTTGGTTTTCTTAAAGCCATATATTTTATTCTAGAAAAACGAAGTACATAGCATTGGTAGAACAAGCATGTAGTGAATTCGGGAATATTAAATTCTTTTCCCCTTGCTTAACAACCAACTATATCCACAAGTTATGAACTAGATCCACAACAAAACTGTGTTTTGCCGCATGTCAAAGAAAGACCAATATTTTTGCCTGACTGTCCCAGTAAACTTTATCTAGTACTACTACTCTTGGACCTTTTACAAAAGATTTTTTCAAATAATTTATTAACTATAACAACTGGGAAGAGAAGTGTGAGGGCCTGAATATTTCGGCCAAGCAGTTAAGGCAACAAACTTCCTCTTCCAACCTGCTCTCCTGGCCTGAATTTTTATATACTAAAATAACCCATCTCCTTCATTTCTGCAGGGGTGCCCAGAAGAAAGTGGCATTTCTTGGCCATCACAAGTCCCAGGTAAAATCTTCTCCATTCTTCAATGTTCTAACAATGGCCTCTAGACCTGCAGCTCGTGACTGAGCAATTAAGTCTTGCTCTCAATGAGAGAGATCTCCAGCACAGGTAAGAGTAGCTGAAAGGCGTCCTGGATGTATGAAGCACTATTTGATGCCTGGCAGGATTGAATAAACAAGAAAAAGAAAAAAGCAAAGTCACTTAAAAAGGAAAATATTCTGTAAGATAATAACTAATTAAATTTTTGCAATCTAACTGATTTTGTAGCCTGGCAAATGAGAACATAGATTCGACCATTTCAGTAAACTACATAGGCAGTAAAGATGCTACTACAGCACCACAAAAAGAACATTTTTGTCCAACTTGCCCATCAGAAACAGTAACTTCTCTTTGGCATCCTGCTCAACTTAGCATTCAAAGCTCATTTACACCTTGATTAAGTGGATAGATTCTATCACAGCATTGTAGCCAACTACTGAAAGAGACTTCTGGAGGGCTACAAATCCTGTACCTACAGGATTTCCAACCCATTCTGACAGCTCTTTTCCTATGGGCTCAATTCAATCAGTAAACAAGACAGCTGCTCACAAGCATAAACAAGGAGGGCCAGCAAATGGCATAATGGTTATGTCGCTGGACTTCCACATAGTCAACCGCAGTTCGAGTCCGGACTTGAAGGCTTAAACTCATACTGGGTTTATGTATGTGCATGCCCAAAATCCCAAGAGGAGAATGGAAGGAGGAGAAAGGACTGCAGTGTGGCCATCCCCCCTGGGGGGTGATTTCTCACTTTCTGTCTCTCTGGTGAGTGCATGAGTCCTAGAGCAAAAACCCTTATTAAAAAAAAACAAAAAAACAAGGAACTCTGCTTTCAAAGATGACACAGTACAGATATATTTCTATTTGGACCAACAGACATATATAGAAGAAGTGTTATGGAATCATTACGCTTAGAGTTCAGCAAATTTTACCTATATTTGGCAAGCTCTAACACTCCAGAAAAATAACAGAGAATTCATTATATTAATATCAAAATGTGTAATTTTCAAAGACATACTGTGTTTCAAATTTTTAAGCAAGAACAACCAACTGAAAATAGCAAGAGGGAATCCATATCAAATGAGATTACCTTTTTAAATTTATCAATGGCAAACAAATACTCTTAAACTTCAATGTGCCACTTGATACTAAATTTTCCACTCAAAAAATACCTCAGAAATCATCTAGAAAATCTACTTTGCACTTGATAATAATGAGATTATCAAGAAGGCAAATGTCCTGTCCAGAATAATATAGCAAGTAAGGGAAGAATGAGGACAGGGCTAGGTACCTGGTTGGCAAATTCTTTCAACTACATCACTCTCTCATTTATTAATTCACAAACTTGTATTTTAAAAATGCATTTATGGGACCAGCAGTTGGCGTAATGGCTATGTTGCTGGACTCCCATGTAGTTAGCCACGTTTCAAATCCCAGACCCGGTGGCTTAAACTCACACTGGGGTGGCGTGTGCATGCGTGCCCAAGATCCTGAGGGGAGAATGACGGAGATGGGATTACAGCATAGCCATCCCCCCTGGCGGGTGATTTCCCGCTTTCTGTCTGTCTCTCTCTGTCTTTCTGGCAAGTGCAAGCGCCCTACAGCAAAAGCCTCTCAAAAACCAAAACATTCATTTAAATAATAGTTTCCGACTAGTCAAGAAAAACTGTGTAGTTAAGCAATTAAAAGCATTTCCTTAATGGTAATTTTAAAACTAGAGAAGTATAGTCTCTAGAAGCTAAAAAAAATTTTCAATCCATATTTAAAATCTAACCAATATTCAATACATTTTTCTCCTAGATTTACCTAAATATTTAAAAGATAAAAATATCATAAAAAGTCTAGGTTTTCTGCATAATTAATTTAAGATAAAATTCTTTTTTTTTTTTTTTTGAGAGGTTTTTGCTGTAAGGGTGTGTGCGCTTCCAGACAGAGAGAGACATAGAGACAGAAAGCAAGAAATCACCCCCCATGGGGGATGGTCACACCGCAATCCCTTCTCCTCCATTCTCCTCTCGGGATCTTGGGCACGCACGCACACAGGCCCGGCGTTAGTTTTAAGCCACGGGGTCTAGGACGTGAACCACGTTCGACTACGTGGGAGTCCAGCAACATAGCCATTATGCTAACTGCTGGTTCCCAAGATAAAATTCTTAAAACATGAAATACAGAAAGCATCATAGAAGGAGACAATATAAATAATCATTTAATTCTCTAACACTTCCCTTTCAATGGACTTAAAGCATCCACTCCTTAAATCTAACAGGCTGACAAGGATTATATAAACATGGGTGCTCCTTTGACAAAACAAAGCAGTATTTCTTGGCAAGGAAATGACAAAATGTTTTGTTTTGTAACAAGTTTCCTCTGCATAAACCTTTTCCTTTAGGAAGCACACTTGCCTGTGTGTAATTTTCACCCCTTCGTGTTTACCAGCTGGTCTCCAGAAGGTGTTTCATTACTGAGAATAGTCTATTAAGTTGCCAGGGTAGAACTAAGTAATGGCAGGCTACCACTTCTTCCATTCAACTTTATCCTGCAGCTTCAATTCATGCTTTGTAATTAACAAGCAGGGAATACCCATCAAATAAACATCATCTTGGTCACATCTGCATCAACATCATCAAACTACCAATCTTGTAAAAGAAAACCAACAAACAAAAATGCCCAAAACTAAGGATGTATGATTTGATTAATACACAATGTCACAGGAGTCAGAGACTTAAATTACTATTGGGGCCAGCAGGTGGCTTGGCAGTTAAGGTGCCGAACTCCCACCTGGCTGATCATGTTTCGAGTTCCAGACCTGGTGGCTTACTTTCTCACCCCACTCCAGTCTCTTTCTTTCCAGTGAGTGTGCATACCCTATAGCAAATGTGGAATAACAATAATTATAAATAAAATTAAATAAACATTTCTTTTAAAAATTACTACTAACCTCTAGAAATACTGCAGTGATTAATGGGTTAAGAACATCTGCTTTTTCTTTGATCTAGAATAAAAGATACAGTTTTAAGTGAACAGAGCAAGTTAAAAAATAACAGGCAGGGGCCACGCACAGTGCAGTGATAATGCAGCTGGACTCGTGTGGGGAAAGGACCTAGATTCATGTTATGAGACCTCCTTGCGCACACAGGGCACCATGTGGCCATGGTCTGGGCTGGCTGAGATGGGGCTTAGATCACAGTGTGAGGGCCCTGTTGGGGTCTGTCTCTCTCTTATGAGATACATAAATACATTTTTTTAAACAAAACCATAAGTACAATGTAATCACATTCTGAAACACACATAGCACATACTTAAGCACAGAATGCCTGGACTGAAAGACAACAACATGTCATCTCTAGGAAGCAAAATTTGAAGTACTTTAAACTACTTTCTTCATACCTTTCTGTGCTATTCAAATTGAGAGTATACTGCTTGAAAGTTTTTTATTGCTTTTTTAAAATATCTTCATTTTGGAAGAGGGAATGGAAAAGTTTATCTTACCATAAAACTTTATGATTTTAAACAAAATAAGTAGATATGAACCATGCACTCAAAAAACTCAATGGTTTTGGGTCAGCAGTTGGCATAATGGCTATGTCGCTGGACTCCCATGTAGTCCACCACTCTTCGAGTCCTGGACCCAGTGGCATAAATTCAAGCTGGGCACGTGTGCGTGCGAGGCCCAAGATCCCAAGAGGAGAATGGAGAAGGGATTGCAACGTGGCTATCCCCCTGGGGAGTGATTTATTGCTTTCTGTCTCTCTGTCCCTCTCTGGCTTTCTGGCAAGCACAATGCAAATTTAATACAACACATATTTGCACCTTGCAGTTGATTCTCTAGCTTATAGTATCTTTATGGAATGCATGGGAAGATATGTTGGATCATTTTAGATTACAGGTTTGGTTCCCTAGTTGACCTGTATATATGCCAGGAAATAAACTTTATCTCATGAAATAAACTTTTTAAAATTAGTGAATACTGACAACCTGGATTTTGTCAAGATTTAAAGATTTTCATGCAAAGGACACAAGAAAGCAAAATGACAAATGGACTGGGAGAAAAAAATATGTGCACATCATATATCTGATAAGGAACTGGTATCCAGAAAAAGAAAGGAACTGGTATCAAAAATAGAAAGACAACCCTATTTTTATAATAGGTGAAAGACTTAAACAGACATTCCTCCAAGGAAGTTATACAAATAACCAACAAGTACATGAAAAGATGCACAATATCGGGCCAGCTGTTGGCTAAAGCAGCTAGATCCCACAGGGCCAAGTGTATGGTTTGAGGCCAGGACCTAGTAGCTTGAAAAATATGCTAGGCATACATGCATGTGTGCCCGAAATCCAGAAGGAAGTAAAAAACAGAGGAGAAGGGATTGTGGTGTGACTGTCTCCCAAGGGGGACTGCTTTGGACACTCCCTACCTCCAGCAAGTGCACTCTCCCTCTGGCATTTTTTTTTTTTTAAAAAGCACAATATCATTAGCTATTAGAGATATACAAATTAAAATCCCATTAAGATACCACTTTCAACTCACTAGTATGGCTAAAATTAAAATGACAGAAAATAGCAAGCACTCATGATGAAAGTACTCATGATAAGAAATTGGAATCTTTGGAGATGAGCAGATGGCATAATGATGATGTCGCTGGACTCCCACATTGTCAACCCAGTGGCTTAAAACTCATGCCAGGCACGTTTGTGTGGGTGCCCAAAATCCTGAGAAGAGAAGGGATTGCAGTGTGGCCATCCTCCCTGAGGTGTGATTTCTTGCTTTCTGTCTCTCCAGCAAGCACACGTGCCCTATAGCAAAAATCTCTCCCCCGCAAAAAAAAAAAAAAAAAAAAAAAAGAAATTAACACATTGCTTGAGAGAATTTAAAACCTTTAGGAAGCAATCTGGCAGTTCCTCAATGACCTATATCACCAACATAACCCAGCAATTCTACTCCTAAGTATCTACCCCCAAAAACTAAAAACATATCTTCACACAAAAACTCATACATGAATGTTCATAACATTATTCACTATAGCCAAAAAGTGGAAGCAATCCAAATGTCTATAGACTGATGAATGGATAAATAAAATGGGGTGTTCGTTGATAAAATATTATTTGATAATAAAGAGGAAGTACTGGTACGTTACATTGTGATTGAACCTCAAAAACACTATGCTAAGTGTATAAAACCAGATACAAAATACCACAACATACTATATGATCCCATTCATATGAAATGTCCAAAATGGGCAAATCTATAGAGAGTAAATACACTAACAGTGCTTAGGACTAGGGGAGTGTAGAGGAGAAGGGAATGGGGAATAACTGCTAATGGCATTAAGTATTTTGGGGAGATGACAAAAACATTCTAAAATTAGACTATGGCAATGGTTACATGTCTCCATAAGTACACTAAAACCACTGAGTTGTACACTTGAAATAGGTGAATTCTGTCACATAAAAAGTATAATTAATAAAGCTTAAAAAAATTAATAAAAAGGGCAGACATTAGCCAAAAAGAGGCATGAATCTTACCCCAGCAGTTGTTAGGCAGGTGGTGAACTCTTTCGACAAAGAAGACAACTCTTTACACAACATAACTGTCACCCTAGGAAAGACAGAAAAGTTAGGAGGGTTCTTTATTAAAGTATTTTTTTCTTCTCCTTCTTTATCTTTTTTCTTTCTTTTTCTTATAAGTTGTATTTAAGATCGTCAGATGAAAACAAATCACTTCTAATACTAAATGTGAAAGAACACTTTCTTGCTTTTTAATTTGCTAGAGGGTGTGTGTGCTCATTGGAGAGAGAGAGAGAGAGATAGAAAGAGAAAACAAAAGTGAGAAAGCACCTCTCTATGGGAGAAATGTCACACAGCAATCCCTTCTCCATTTCTCCCTCCTGTCAAGATTTTAATCATACACACACATGCACTCAGCATGTTTTTCAAGCTGCAGGGTCCAGGACTCAAACTGCAATTGGCCATGTGGGATCTAGCCACCTTAACAACCCACTCCATGGACTGGCCCAAGAAAGCTTTTAAAGGGAGAAAATAAGCCTAAATTAGCTACCTAATGTATTGGAAGACCCATCTTAGCTGGTATTGCTGCTACAGAAGGTTCACTCCTCAGAAAAATATCTTTCTAAAATTCTCTAGAAAGTACCATACTTCCTAGTTAAATCAAAGAAAACAGTTAAAATACATTTTAAGAAAATAATATAGTACTTAGAAGACCCTACATGCCATTTAGAAATACAGCTAAAATAGATATGTATTTATCCATTCATTCATTCTGCAAGTATTTATGGAAATATTTATTTCATGGATTCTAACTCACTTGTTAATTAAGGGGGAGACTAGACACACATATATGCGCGCACGCGCGCGCACACACACACACACACATATATATATATATATATATATATATATATATATATATATATATATATATATATATATATATATATATATATATATATATATATATATATATATATATATATATATATACACACACACACACACATATACATAATATAAGGGATCTTCAAAAGGTCCATGGTAAATGTTTATTATGAAAAAAATACAGGGATTTCAAAAAAAATTTAAGAATTACTTAACTAATTTTATTTATTATTATTATTTTTTAATTTGCTATAGGGCACATAAGTTCACGAGCAAGAGAGAAAGTGAGAAAGCAAACCACCAGGTCTGGAACTCAAACTGCAGTCGGCTATGTGGGAGTCCAATGCCTTAACCATCGTGCTACCTGCTGGCCCCTTTTAAAATGGTTTTACACCCAAATGAACTCATACTTAATTCTGTTTTTCTTAGAATATTCCCAAGGGCCTTCATATATAAATATATGCATATAATCATATACATGTATCTGTAACGGGTGGTGATTAGGAGTTAAAACATAAAACAGAGGGCGGTTACTATTTAAGACTTTGTGGTGGAGGCCAGGTTAAGATACTGGACTCCCACATAACCGACCACACAGCTCAAGTCTCGGACCTGGTGTCTTGTTCTCTCTCTCTCTCCCTCCCCCCACCCGTGCCAGCAAGCACATTTGCCCAGTAGTAAATTAACAGTAATAGTAATAATAATGATCATAATAGTGATAAATAAAGTTAAATAAATCTTTTTAAAATAAAATGTGTGGTGAGGGGCTAGCAAGTGGTACAGTGGTTAAGATGCTGGACTCCCACATGGCCAGCCATGGTTCAAGTTCCAGACCTGGTGGCTTGCTTTCTCACTTTCCCTTTCTCTGTCTCCCTCTGGTCAAATTAAATAATAACAAATAAAATTAAATAAATAATTCTTAAAAAAAAAAAAAGAACATGTGGTATAAAAGATATCTTGAGCCACGTAGGTGGCATAGTGGTTAAGGTGTTAGATTCCCACAAGGCCAACTACAGTTGGAGTCCCAGATCTGGTGGCTTGAAAATCACAACAAATAAATAAATAATAAACAAACAAATGTTTGGGTTTTTTTAATAAAAGAAAAATAAAAGAAAAAAGTTGTCTCTGACAAAGTGGCATTTGATTGGAAAACTGAATTCAGTCAGGGAGAGAGTCGAGCCTTGAATATTCCAAGCAATAGCAATAGCTACTATTTCACAGAACAAAACTGCTTGAGTTCTGTGAGTCCCTCATCCTTCATGGTATTCAAAATAAAACTAGGTTCCATTATGGAATATTGTAGATGGGCAGCAACACTATAGCTGAACAGGGCTAAAGAACATCAGCAGCCCCTCCTAATCCTAACATACTACACACACTCACACATGTTTTTTTCCAGTGAAAGTTCTCTTTTAAATCAGATATATTTAGAAACAAAGAGGCCTTTTATCCCTCCTATGATTATCTACATTGTACTACTATTGAATATTTTTTACTCAAAATCAGCAATATCTTGAGAAAAAACAATAGGTTTGGGACAGTTCTGTGTCTAAATCTTGGGCTGCACAAACTGGGTAGATTATCTTCTTTTTTGCTTACACCAAACTCTATTCCTAGTAAGACTAACAATCTACAAAGAAATTTTTTTTAAAGCAAGAGATGGTTAACAAAAGGGGTTGATTTTTAATGTAGGCTCAACGACAACAACAACAAAAATCCAACATGAATAAGCCTCTAATATGTGAAGGGTGCAATGCAAATAAGCACCATGTTAAAAGGTAAGTTTCTAAAACTTTGGAAACTCACCAAGAAAACTCTCTCAGCAATTTGCGTCATTAGAGGAATACTCCTTACACTTACTGAGAAAGAGTTTGGCTCCTTTCTAAGGCTGTCACTTCTTGCTTCTGGCCATGCAGAACCAAGGCTGCCGTTTTGTGGAACAGTTCGATTGAGTAGGCAGTCAGTTCTGCTAGACTTCGGATAGCAAATGCATGGATATCCTGGAAGAAAAAACAAAACAAAGCAAAGCAAAGTAAAACTAAACATTTGACCTTTTGTTTTGTATGCATGGAAATGACACCAACTTCTCTCCGAAGGAGTCAACATTTTAAAAGCAGCAAAGACTAACAACTGCCCTTCAATATATGTTTCCTTCATTTTCCACACTAGTGCTGTAATTTTACAGCTGGGCTCAGCTACAAAACAAGAGGCTCCCCTGAAGCCAGGTGTGATCATGTGACCAGGTTTTGACTGGAAGGTTTAGATTAAGAAGTGACTCGGGGCAGCTTCTGAGAATCTTCCTGATAAAGTATACATGTACCCTTTGTCTCTTTTTCATTCTTCCTCCTTTAATCCTACAGTCTAGATCTAAAATGTTATCATCTTAGACCATGAAATTAAAATTATGGATAGCAGTGTAACAAAACAGAAGTAGCCTGGGTCCCTGATTGCTACACTGACATCTCAATTCTATTTAAAAAGGGGAAAAAAAGAAAAGAAAGATTAGTTGGATTAGTCTACCTCTATTGAGTTTTTTACTTGCTCAGTAGTTTCTGTTTCCGACTGTTCTTCCTCTTTCTCTGCTAATGGTTTGGTCAGAGATGTCCTGATCCATTCATAGGTGGTATTTCTTGCCTAAATCAGAAAAGGTTATTGGTCATCAATAGCTCAATTCAACTCACCAAGATTACTGTGCACCTGCCAGGATCACATTAGAATCCTGGATGTGAGTGGCCTTATTCTCACCCAAACGTATTATCTAGCTTTTCAGTACTTATCATACTAGACAAGAAATCTCAACAGTACTTACCACTGCGGGAACCAGCAGTTAGCGTAATGGCTATGTTGCTGGACTCCCACGTAGTCGACCACGGTTTGCGTCCCGGACCCGGTGGCTTAAAACTCATGCCAGGCGCGTGTGAGTGCGTGCCCAAGATCCCGAGAGAAGAATGGAGGAGAAGAGATTGCGGCGTGACCATCCCCTCTGGGGGGTGATTTCTCACTTTCTGTCTCTATGTCTCTCTCTGTCTGGCGAGCGCACGCGCCCTATAGCAAAAAAAAAAAAACCCCTCACCAAAAAAAAAAAAGTACTTACCACTGCTATCCATTAATTCCTTTTTCAAACTCTCTAATCCTTTGGGGTTTTTTTGTTTTTTAATTTTTTTTTAAGAAACGAACAAACCGAGGTAGAACGTATATATGGTAAAGTGTACCAATCTTCACAGCACAGCTCAAGATATGATTACATATGTATATGCCTGTAAGACTGTGACCTGGATCAAGATACACAATGTTCCCATCACCCAGAAGGTCTTCTCATGCCCCTTCCTATTCACCATTGCTCAAACCATGGTCCCTTCCTCCTGCCCAGAGGCAGCTACATTTATGCTGATGAAAAATCAATTTTACCTGCTGTTAAAATGTACACAAATGGAACCATAAGTTCATTGTAATGTGTGTCTGGCTTCTTATGTACAACAAATGTTTGTTATATTTATTCATGTTTTTAGAATTTCATTCTGATTTACTGTTGCGTTGTATTTCTTTTTATACATATCCTACAGTTTATTCATTCTCCTGATAATGAACCTTTGGGTTGTTTCTGGTTTTTTTCGGCTTTGGTAACACCACTATCTTCCTGCTCTCTACCTATCTTAATCGTCCCTCCTCAGTCTTTTATGTTTTGCTCCTCCTTGGCCAGTCTCTTAAACACCAGTATCATCTGGAGTTCAGCTCTGACTCTCTATTTCTCTCCCCCTACCTCCTCCTAAAGCACCTCCATCCATACTATTCCAGATTCCAGTAGCTTCCTCATCCCCTAACCTGCTGTCCTACATTCTTATTTCCAAACTTGACCTCTCTTGAAAACAACTTATTCCAAATACCTACTAGACATATATACCAATATATTCTGTGGGCCTCTCACATACAACATATATTAAAAAAAAAAAAAAGGTGAATTCACACTCTATCTCGTCCTAAATTCAATTTTTTTATCCTCTTTGAGTCCCCAATTCTTCAGAAATATTATCGTATACCAGTGACCCAAGTAGAAATATCAGAGTCATCTTAGCGTTTTCTCCACAAGGTAGGTTGATTTTTCCAAGTATTTCTCCAGTCTGTTCCCTCTTCTTCCTCTCTGTCATCACCACTTGAGTTTAGATCCACTTCATGACTGGTTTCCCTGCTTCTGATCTGGTCCATCTTAAACTTTCTATATCTTCTGTAATGCTACCGGTGATCTGTCGAAAGCCCAGAGTTAACTATTCCTCTTTCCGTCAATAGCTCCTCAACAACTATTGGGTCATCAGAAAAGCCATGATGTACTTTTCTTTATTTTTCTATGCAAAACTGCATCATAACTTTTCCGACAGCCCAATAGGTCACACTCCTTCACATGATCTAAGAAGTGCCTCTAACCTTACCCTAACTATTTACTCAGCTTCATCTCTTACCACTTTCCACTTTATGGTTAATAATGTTCTCTAACTGGACCTGTTTTTCAGTCTTCTATCCTCACAGAATCTCCTCTGGGTAACTTTTAAAGGCCTTCCAACAGGCTAGGTACCTAACAGTGCCCTAGGCACCCTTTAAGTTTAGTACTTACCAGAATATACCAAAATTAACTGTGTCTTTCTCCTAACTAAACTATATATTATAGCATAGCTGTGGAGTGTCTTATTTGGCTTTGTGTATCCAGTATCTGGCACACCATAGACAGCATCTATTGTTTTTCACCGGCTGGCATCTCTATCATCTTTCTTTTGGTTGCAGATTCTAAATTCTTCTCAATTTATGAGGCTTAGATGGGGCTGCTTCCACCTTATGACTCCAAGGGTTGCCAAACAATTCAGGTTTAATTACTGAGAATATCAATCTCCCTGTCCACACACTGATTGCTTCATGGATAGAAAAGTGACTGAAAGAGCCAGCATGTGATGTGGTTATGGTGCTGGACACCCACATGATTAACTGAGGTTTGAGCCTAGACCTGGCGACTTGAAAATCAAGCTGGGCGCATGTGTGTGCATGCTTAAAATCCTGGGAGGAGAGTGGAGAAGAGATTGCCATGTGTCCTTCCCCTCCATGGAGAGTGATCTCTCTCTCTCTCTCTCTCTTTCTCTCTCTTTCTCCAGTCAGCGTACATGCCCTATGGCAAAATAGAAAAGAAAACCTTAAAAAAAAAAAAAAAAAAAAAGGAACCTAAACCAGATTGATAGGATTGGACCCATAATATCTGCTAAAGTTACTGGGAAAGGGAAGCTCTCTTTCTTTTTTACTTTTTTTTAAGTTTGTTTCTCCATGAGAAGGAAAGACAGAGAGAAAGACAACATCCCAAACAGGGTCCTAACACTACAATTCACCCCAACTTCTGGTAAGACCTGGATCATTGGCAAGCACATGCCCAGTGTACTCAGAAAAGATGCTAGACTTGACTAGGATCCTTCCTATGTGGGACTGATTCACAGAGAATGGTGTTTTACCACTGCACTACTAATGGGCCCACAAGTCCTTTCCCTATTAGAGTAACCAACCTGGAAAAAAATCATCCTGAAGCTTCCAGGGTGATTCTTTCCAAATCTTTGTCACCATATGGGGCAGCTTCACTAAGAATGAATCCAAAGCAAAAGAAAGCACAGCCAAGAGATGGAGATAGCAGGTTCCTGGGAAAAGCAATGTGTAAAGTCAATCCTGACTCCTAATTTTCTACTTTCTTAAGCTACTGAATTCCCCTCTTTTCTTATGCTAGTCTGATTTGAGCTCCTGTCATGTGTGAGTGAAAGAGGTCTGATTTCCCAAAATGTATTTATTGCCATTAAATGAAAACATCCATTTGATTATATAGAAAAATATGTGTTGAGTACAAGAAACAACCAAGACAATGGCCAGCCTAATGATAGGGACAAGTCCAAAGTTGAATGTTAACTTCCAGAGTTTAAATGGAAAGATCAGACCACAGTAATACTGCAATTTCAATAGGGAGAGATTAATTTCATGAATTTGAATGAGCAAAATGGAATTTTGTTTTATTTTAAACTAAAACATTACTGATTTTCTTTGATGCTTTGATTTCCATATTTAAGAGTTTTTTTTTCTCTTGAACTATTGATAGGTTCATGTACCTACTATCTGAACTGAATCCTAACCTTTTTCTTGACTTTAAGTTTTAAGCAAATTTCTCTTGACATTTTCTGATCTCGATCTATTAAAACTTAAACTATTTTTGAAATTTAAAAATGCATTAAAAATACCTATTAATACCTATTTAATGACTGCAGTAAGCTATATAGCCCCAGCTAGGGGCTACTTTATAGTATGTTCACTGTACTCACTGTGGTTTACACCTAAAGTCAGACATGTGTTCATATATATGTACATATCAGCTATGCTTGCAATTAGGTCTTCAAATTAATTAAGATAGTTAGTGAATCAATAAAATATGAAAAAAAAAAAAAAGGGCGTGGAAAGCAACTGTACATACCAGAGACAGTGTGGGCAAAGGAGGGGAGCTGGCGGACGGTGAGAGATAGGGAATCAAGGTGGGGGAAAGCAAAATATATAAGAAACAAGAAATAGAAAATTATTTGTTGATAACATATGGTAATATCCTTGACTGAGCCAATATACCATGTTGGATGGAAAATCTCATTTTGTATACTATATTGATGTATAGTGAATACTGCAAATGAATAAATGAATGAATGAATGAATGAATAAATAAGAAGAAAATAAAGCAAAATATGTTTTAAAAGCTGAAGCCAGGTAACTGGAATCCAGAAAAACCTTCAGAGTCATTCCAACTGAAAAGAATCGCGGGTTTTATCAGATACGGGATAGGAGTTGGGCTTTTAAGCATCAATGGGTAGGGCTACACCACAGACGAACTAAAGCAGAACCTTTGTTCCCAGACATCCATTCAGGATTCCTTCCCCTATAACACTCTTCTCACAAAAACCTTTATTAACAATCCGACTATGATCTAAACCTTTTAATTAGTTTAATCATGAACCTCTCAAATTCAAGACACCAAATGGAACAAACTATTGATATATAAAAGTTCGAAGTAGGCAAATGCAAAATGTGTGGAGCAAACTGTGAGGAATCTACCAAGACCTTAGTATAGAGTATAGGCATTTATTCATTCTTTCTGTATTGGGAACACACGTTACAAACTGTACTAAGGGCTGGGATTCAGCAGTGAATAATACAATCTAGGAGCCTATTCTTGAGCAAGAAAGATAACAAGCAAACACACATGGGTCAAGAAAATAAAATGGGTTGATGGACAGTGTGCTCTGAGTGGGCAAAGAGTGCTTGAGTCTGGGTGGTTGGCAAGGATTTCTAAAGAGTGAAATCTGAACTGAAATCTGAAGGACAGATAACAAGCAACTGGCCATACAAATATTTATGCAAAGAGTTGTAAGTACAAGGAAATCAGCTTGGTCTAGCTGTTCTTGTAGAAACAGAACAAAGACCAGAATGGGGAGAATAGAGAATGGGGAGCATAACAGGAGATGAGGCTGCATGGGTGAGATTTACAGTAGAGAACAGTGAGAGATGAGGCCGGGAAGAATCCTAACTGTTGAGTAATAGTACAAGCAATATGTGAAATTCTCTGCACTCTCTTTGAAAAG